TTATCAGCTGCGTCTTCTTTAACTCTATTATAAGTAGATGATTTATGCGTACCATGTTCCTGTATATCACTAACATCATCATAATTTTCTTTATAATCTTTATTATTTCTAACATCATAAACTCCTTTCTTCTTATTAGTAGCATTATTAGTACCCCAACCGGGATTTGATCTAGGTTGACTACGGCACATTCTAGCAAAATGACCTACATGATAGCAAAGATTACATGTTTTCTGATATGCTGGACACTGTTCTTGTCGATGAGAAAACCCACATCTATTACAATCTTTGGAGTCTGTATAATTATTACAATAAGTTTGATGGGACAGTTTAGTTGTTTTGAATCTACTTCGGCTTCTGTAATTACCTCGATTTCGTGGGCTTCTAAAATGTATTGAATCAACATTTGAGGAATTTGTGACTTCACCACCTGGATTTTGTGACTTTATCAGCTCATGATTTCTAGCCATTTCTATAGCATTAATTAGGGTGATATTACCTCTCAACTGTAAAGTTCTAGACACCGTCTTGTCAGTTAAACCCCATATAAACTTGTCACGAATATTAGTCTCTCTTTGATCACCAAAATCACACGTCTCACTTAATTTATGTAAACTTCTGAGAAATACTTCAACAGTCTCTCCAGGATTCTGCTTTCTCTCATGAAATCGTGAACTTTCTGATATGACTTTATGTCGAGGAACAAAATAATTGTCAAATCTGGCCATGATAGTATCAAAATTTCCCCTCTCGTCTTGGGTAAGGGTGAATGTGGAGAAGATAAGTTCCGCTTGAATTCCAATGATCACATGATACAAACACAAGGAATTCCCTAAAGGATTTCCCTTACGTCATCATCACTATTTAATACCATAACAGGAGGGAGCAGTATCCGAAAACAAAGCTTTTTATACAGATTTGATAGCACTTTAAAGTCGATTCGAGCTTTCACAGGCAGCCAATGAAGACTTTTAAGAGTTTCTGTTACATGATCTCTAGACGATGACTTGGCAACTAGTCGAGCACAGTTTTTTTGTACAACTTGAAGACGGTTGAGGGAGAAATCTGGAATGCCAGATAGGAAGTCCATTTCTATAGTCCAACTGAGATATGACCAGTGCTAATACAACTCTAGCACATGAATCTTTAGTAAGATACCTCCTGATTCTGGATATTGGCTTTAATCTCATGTACATTTTACACATAGTATTGTTAACTTGTGGGATGAGAGACATTGTCTTGTCCATGATGAAACCAAGATTTCGTGCTTTACATGATGGTGAAATTTCGATATCGCTGATGTTTAGCTTTCGTGAAAAGTTGAAACTGTTCAGTTTTGATCTTGGTAATATCAGGAATTCTGTCTTCTCATCGTTCAACTTTAATTTGTTTTGATTCATTCATGTCCGAATATCACTGATACAGGATTCTAGCTTCTTTAGGGTACTGTGTATTGACATCTGGTCAGAAGGAATGAATGTGTTATACAATTGCGTATCATCGGCAAATCCATGATAGCTGATACCATGTCTATGAATAATTTTACCAAGTGGAAGTACATACAGTAAGAGAATAAGTGGACCTAGTACCGATCCCTGTGGGACTCCAATGGACAGCGGTTTAGATACAGAGTTGCTGCTATGAATATGGACACATTGGCTTCTGTCAGTTAGATAAGACTTCAACCAATCCAGCGCCGATCCTTTGATTCCCACAGATAACAGCTATGGTCGATGGTATCAAATGCCGCACTTAGATCTAGAAGTATAAGGTTGATGCCAAGGTTACTGTCCAGTGCTGCATCAATATCAGCTTTTACCTTCAAGAGTGCTGTCTCTGTGCTGTGACCTTCTTTATAAGCAGACTGCAGTGGTTCATGAAGATCATTAGCTTGCAGATAATTAGTGATTTGTCTCGCTATCACCCTTTCAAGCACCTTTCCGATAAACTCAAGATTTGAGACAGGGCGATAGTTCTTGAGGATCTCGCAATCAAGCGATGGTTTCTTCAGAAGTGGAATCACAAGGGCAGTCTTTAATGAAGTTGGCACACAGCTTTTGGCAATTAAAGAATTTATGATAGCAGTGATCAAAGGAAGGAGCGCATCCAATACTGGCTTGGACTTCAGAAGCCATGTTGGAAGGGGATCTAGGCTACAGGAAGTTGACTTGCTCTTACCAATGATCGACCGAACATCTTCTTCTGTAACTGGGGCAAACTCAAACAACCGGCTTGGTACATGACGTTCTTCAAACACATTTAACCCACTGCTAGTGTTGTCAAGTCTGATATCACTGACTTTGTAGACCGGGAGCCCAGGGGTTCAACCTAGCTGAAAAGTGTACCAATTTTCCCCTATATGGTATCAATGTATGTATATCTGGTATCATCAGAATGTAAGTCTGCCGGGTTTCTGGTGGTGGGTGTGGTATTCCACGCCCTAAATGCCATGATCCCCAACTAGGCTAGATTAGCTCAAAAGTGTACCACACGAAAATCTTACTGCAGTGTACCGTACATCTTCAAATATTACAAAAACACTCTGACAGACATTTCTAGTGGTGGGTTACCCCTGACAGAGCTATGTAATTGCCAGACATTTGTAGTGGTGGAGTATCCCTGACAAGAGTTATCTAATATTTAGACCATAGCTAGGCTAGATTAGCTGAAATCTGCTCCACATAAAACAGCTTTGGAGTTGTTCAGTACCACCACAGGAGTCATGAATGGCCACTGCCAGACAGTTTGTGCGGTGGGTAACAGACACGCCCCAAAATGCCACGCCCCCAACTAGGCTAGCTTCGCAGGCACTGTTCCTATGTTCTAAAAAATTAGATTTTTAGCAAGGATGCGTAGGATACTAATACCTAGCACGTATGGGAGAGGCGATAAACTGCGATTGCCAGAAATTGATTTTTGGGCAAAAAACATTTTATGGGGCTAAAAATGGGTTTTCGAAAAATAAAATTGTTCCTACAACCACAGTTTATCGCCTCTTCCATATGTGCTAGGTATTAGTATTCTACGCATCCTGGCATAATTTTTTGGACCACAGGAACAGTGCCGACTAATCTATCCTAGTTGGGGGTCGTGTTATTTTGGGCGTGTCTGTTAGGGGCATCCCACCGCACAAACTGTCTGGCAGTGGTCATTCATGATTCCTGTGGTGGTACTGAACAACTCCAAAGCTGTTTTAGGTGGTACAGATTTGAGCTAATCTAGCCTAGCTTTGGTCTGGAAATTAGATAACCCTTGTCAGGGATACTCCATCAATACAAATGTCTGGCAATTACATAGCTCTGTCAGGGGTACCCCACCACTAGAAATATCTCTCAGAGTGTTTTTGAAATACCTGAAGATATACGGTACATTGCTGTGCGATTTTCATGTGGTACACTTTTGAGCTAATCTACACTAGTTGGGGGGCATGGCACACCACACCCACCAACAGAAACCCGGCAGACTTACATTCTGATCATACCAGATATACATACATTGATACCATATAGGAGAAAATTGGTACACTTTTCAGCTAGGTTGACCCCCTGGGCTCCTGCTCTATTGTCATGAAAGAAGTCACTGAAACGTTCAGCTAGCACACCATCTGAATTAGACTTTGGTCATTTATTTTGATTTTCAGAGATAAGTTTATCGATAACATTAAAAAGTTAAAAACACTTATATGGATATACTACTTCTGAATTTATTAACATGCTACATTTCAATACACATACAGATATCGTTATCAAGCAAATAATGATATATAACAAAAATGTGGTGCAATATATAGATAACAAATTGGAAACCATGTAACAGATTAATCATTAATTAAGAATAAATAAGGTGAGAGAAGTAATAATATGGATAAACAATTACAAAGGGATTAACAAGATGAAAGACTGTAATGTATTGATAACAATTAGAAATATTAGCAGATCAAACTAATAATTATAAGAGATTAACTATATGAGAGATAGGAATATATAGATAACAATTAATACACTAATTAGCAGGTGAAACCATGACTACAAGATGAGGGGGTTAACCACACAGGCAAGAAATCGAAAACTAGGGGTAGTATATCCATATAAGTGTTTTTAATTTGTGAAATCTACCTCTATATGTCTTACAAGGATAACATTAAAAAGATCTTTAGAATCTGTTGCAGAGAGTTTGTTTTTATAAAAAGTTGTCTTAGCATCCGAGATCAATTTTATGACCTTCTTGGACTGTGATTGGAATAGTTGTCTATCAAATTCAAGACCTGTTTTTACACATTTTCTTTCTGCTTTTCGTCTGAGAATTCTTTCAGAGTGAATGACATCAGTATACCAGGGATTTGAATGGTTGCCCTTACTTTTGCGGGACTTTACAGAACCAAATACGTCAAGTGTGGACTCAATGACCTGAGAATACCGATGCAGTAGAGTTAGAGGATCATCAGAATCAATACATGTCACAGCCTCTTTGATAGACGACGCAAACTTCTCAACGTCAATATCTTTCAGTTTTCTACTCATGATTTCTTTCTCCACAGACGATGCGCTTTCCATGTGGGCGTATAAAAATGCAAGGTGTACTTTGACATGCGCTCCACAAGAAGCTTGCTATAGAAGGTAAAACATGTCGATATATATAGTGTATACAATGAATAGGAAAAATTTGAGTTGTCAATCATCAATAATTGTGTATTTATTATTTCATAAAACAAAAACAACTGATCAGTAAAACTGATTTATTTCATACAAGTGTGTACGAATCGAATATAGTTGTGGATGACATAACCATTACCTTGAAGACGAGTCAACCAATGCTTGTGGACGAGTCAACCAATCCTTATGCATGACTTAACTGTGGACAAGTTTGCGGGTGGACGAGTTTGCATGTGGATGACTTAACTAGCTTCCATTAGAAGTATTGAGAAAATCACAGCAAGGTTATCATATACGTGGATATTTAATGTGATATTTTCCAAACTATTTTTCATTGTATATATTTACCTGACAACTACATCATTTTCAGGAACAAGTTTATCTAGACTTCCTATTTGACCTTCTACATCTAAAACAACTGTTTCAGCGTTAGGACACTTCTTGGAAATAACATCCAATTCATCACTGTATTGTGAAGCTGAAAAAAAAAAGAAGAAAAAATTAATTGCCAGTAAATTTCCTAAACATTTATTTTATATTTCGACTTTTAAGGAGAATTTGTCTACCAGATTGCAGGGAACTGGCTTTTATTGACAATGCTTTTTAACATCCACTCATCATAAACCTGGTCATTTTGGAAATAACATACGGACATGGTACATCATTATTTCAATAATACTACGGAACATAAAGAGTCTTTAGCAGCAGGAAGAAACTGGAAAATCAAAATACCCACAAGGTTTTGCAGGTGACGCTATTCCTTGTTGCATACAAGCATGAGATCTAAGCCAAAATATTTGAATCAATGACAGAACTTATGCTTTAAAGAGCACAACTCCAACCACCAATCCCTACTAGTGTGTACACAAGATGTATATAATTCTACTGACCTACTGTAACATGTAACTTTTTATCACGTAATAAATATTCTATAGCCGGATGTGAAACATAACCAGCTCCTAGTATCAAAACTCTTTTCTCTATATCTTTATCTGAATTGGGTGATGTAGAAACAGACCTGTGGTAACAATAAAACATAACACAAATGGTTACAACAAATTGACATGTAACTGACTGGTCAACCATCTACTGAAAGAATGAAGAATGGTCTTAAAATAATATGATGCATTGTTTACAATTTATTGCCGGTTTGTACACTAATGACTTTCGATCGTAATATAATTACCGCCGACCAAATACTTGTTACCGCCAACCAAATACTTGTTACTGCCGACCAAATGCTTAATGATTCCTTGTTACCGCCGACTATATAAAATTAATTAAATTATTAGTGACAAATAAATAGATTTGGTTAAATACACAGACGTCCTCTTCTTCCCACGCCCACGCATCTACCAATGGACTGGCCTCAGTTAAGAAATAGATTCCAACCACCGCCAGGCTTCTACCAACCACCACCAGGCTTCTACCAACCACCACCAGGATTCCACCAACCGCCACCTGGGTTCCACCAACCGCCACCTGGATTCCACCAACCACCACCTGGATTCCACCAACCACCACCGGGATTCCAGCGCCGACCAAACCAGGGTCTACCAAAGGAGCGCCAACCAAACCAACGTCTACCAAAGGAGCGCCAACCAAACCAACGTCTACCAAAGGAGCGCCAACAACCCCAAGAAAATGCAGGTGTCGTGAAAGCCTTCTTTCAGGTCCTCCAATGCCTCCACCACTTGACCATTATGGAGAGTCAGGAGAATGGAACACCAACCAGAAGTTTCACTTGGAAGATCCAAGACCTGAATAAGTTCGTGAAGCCGGCCATGAAGACGTCTACCATAGCCACTACCATTGAGACATTGAACTTGAAATGGGCCAAGGACGTCGCCTCATCCCTGTCGACACACTACCGAGCCATGCTAGCTGAGAAACTGGAGTACTTGAAGTCACGTCACTTTACCAAAGATGCTGTACAAGAGTACTCTAGCCACGCCCTAGCATGGGCCAAGAAGTCCTACGGCAAGCGACTTCAGGATAGTGTGAAGACAGAGTTCCACCGCCTACTGTCCACGGTCTCTAAAACTGTCACGCCCCCTCCCCCATCACCCATGCACATTACACACAACCTTCTCCGGGACACACCAAAACGATACACACCCAACAAGAGAAAATTATCCCCTGGAGAAGGCACTTGCATTAACACTCCCTCGAAGCGTGCAGCTAGATCAACCAGTTCGCCCCGGGTTGTGTCTGGCTCACCTACTTCCTCGGGATCTATATCGCCACTAAACGCGCTTGTCGACTGTCTGTCCCCTAGATCGCCCATCATTCCTAACCCTAGAATCGCCACTAGATCTTCCACCAGATGTAGGCGATCACTCAACCTATCCCTAAAGAGACCTTTACAAAGGTAAAGACGCGAAGGATTTATGGTTCCTACCACCCGTCATGGCAAAGACCCTGGTTATTGGATCCTCTAACCTGGCTAGGATTGCATCCTTCCTCGGGGACTGGGAGATCCATAGCTATTCTGGAGCCAAGATCAGCCACATCAAACAGATACTCCAGAACTACATGGGTCCTGCACCAGAAGAATTAGTGATACACGTCGGGCTCAACAACAGAGAGGAAAGTGGACTAAGGATACACGAGCAGATGCTAGATCTACTCAAGGTGACCAGAGCAGCTTTCCCAACAACCAAGCTCTTCGCCACACAGATCCCCACTTCTTCCCGACTCCGACAAGAAAATCCGATCGCCTACCAAAACATCACCAGCTACAACCAACTGATCTCCACTGCACCTTCACCAAACGCCACCACATTACCAACCTTCAAGGGCAAAATAGAACTGAAAGGTAACGACGCAATCCACTGGAGCCCAGACACAGCCAGAGAGATCATCAACTGCTGGATAAGGAATTTAAACTAGGATTAGGGAAAAGGAATGAGAAGCCGTCTTTAGGACAAACAGTTGTCAATTTGAGCGACAGACTTCTCAACCCCCTAGAAATGAACATTCTTGATAAAGGCCTTAAATTCATCCCAACCCCCACAATAACATCCATAGACCCCATCACCCAGGCAACCGATCGCTTCCAAAGAACACTTTCGTTGACTTATTTTTTTAGGAATAAACCCGGCAGAGGTAAAAAATTATTCACAGCAAAATCCACATGGAAACCACCTAAAAAGTCATTATCACCAGCCATCCTAAAATCTTTCGACGAAATGAATATAGAAATATCATCCATTCAACCACAATCACAAAAAACAAATCTCAACCGAGCAACTAAAACGGCATTAAACACCCTTAAAAAAGACAAAAACATAATAATTAAGAAAAGCGACAAGGGCTCGTGTTGTGTCATAATGAATCGCGCAGACTATATCTCAGAGGCAGAAAAACAATTAAGTAATCCTATACATTACACTAAATTAGACCAACCCATCTTTAAGGACACCGCAACTTTAATAAACAACATCTTATATGAATTGCAGGATAAGGAATACATAACAGCAAAACAATATGATTATCTATCTGCTAAATCTGACTGCCGACATGTACACGAACATTGATAATAACACAGGTATTGAAGCAGTTAGGAAAGCATTTCTTAGGAACACGCAAGTATCCAGGCCGGACGAAGAAATCCTCAAACTACTCGACATTTGTCTGAGGAGGAATGACTTCGCTTTTAACGACCAAGTATACCTTCAGTCTTCCGGAACTGCGATGGGAAAACGATTTGCCCCGAGTTATGCAAATCTCTTCATGGCGGAGTGGGAAAGGGAAGTTCTGCCACTCTGTCCATTAAAACCAAATTTCTATGGGCGGTTTTTAGATGACGTTTTCATAGTCTGGACGTACACACTAGACGAATTTTGGACGTTTTTCAACATTCTGAACAATCATCATCCATCTGTCAAATTAACCGCAAATGTAAGCCATAACAGCATAGATTTCCTTGATACTACCGTGTTTAAAAGTAGCAACACCAAAATCACAGGCCAATTGGAAACTAAAGTATTTTTCAAAGAAACCGACACACATCAATTATTGTTCAAAAGCTCCTTTCACCCAAAACATACATTCTCTGGCATCATAAAATCTCAGATTCTCCGTTTTCATAGGATATGTACTCAGAAGATCGACTTTGAGTCAGCATATACATTGGTATTTAGCAAACTAAGGGAAAGGGGATACTCCAAACGCTATCTACGACGTATAAAAAACAACACTCTCGCTGAGCTTGCCGCCAAAGAAACAAATAATATACAATCAGCAGTTAAAACCAAAATTTGTGGCCATCCAAGATGTCAAACATGCAAAATCTTAAACATATCCGAAAATTTCCATAACAAAACATCTGGCACAAAATTCCGAATATTAGACCAACTTTCATGCAGTAGTTCAAACATAATTTATCTAATATCATGCAGAAAATGTGACAAGCAATACGTAGGGGAGACTCAAAATGCACTTAGGGAAAGAATTAACGGTCACCGGTCAGACATAGTCACCAAAAAAGACAAACCTGTCTCAATTCATTTCAACCAACCGAATCATGACATTTCTGATCTCATTGTCACGCCAATAGAAAAGACCAAGAGCGACTTTGAAACTTCAGAAGAAATTAAAACGTTTAGGCTAACAAGAGAAAAATTCTGGATTGACAAATTGAAAACAACAGCAGCTCCTTTTGTAGTTCCATTTAGCGCAACAGCAGCAAGTGCATCCAAAATCATCAGAAAACACTATACTGATCTCCAAGAAAATCACCCGAAAATATTCACACAGAAACTTATAATTGCATATTCTAAAAATAAAAATCTGAACGACATCCTAGTGCACAGTAAATTAGATTAAATAAGACCAGTCTCCACCCTGACCCAAAACAAACCATATATCAAATCCTATCCCTAACCGTTAGTAAATAAAATCAATTAGATATAAGAATCCCTAGCCCTTACCCGGTGATGTGGAACAAACACGATTTTTAGAAAATCCAATCCGTAGTAGGAAACAAATTTATTTTCTTTTTTCTTCAGAAACAATAATACCAGAATACCAGAAGCACAACCCAAGGAAGACCATCAGCGCCACCAACACCAATAAACAGTGAAATCGCCTTTGTATATAAATCTAATGTATTGTATGTATTTTTAATAAAACTAGGAAATATCACAAATTAATTTTTCATCATCCTAGGTCAGTGCTTATGTGGAGACTTAACCTCTCACCCAAATTCTTAAACCTAACCCTCGCACTAATAAAAGATAGGCCTAAAATGTTTTTTATTTATAACCAGTAGCTGAAACAATCTTGATATATTTCCCCTTCAATATCTAAATTGTAGTTTTGTCCTTCCATATTCTTTAAAATATATATGAATGTTTTTCGACAGTTGTACGTGATTACACCTCAAATAGAAAATAACATTCTTGTTGTATTCTTTTTTATAAAAAAAAACAACCGTAAAATAGTCGGTGGTAACAAGGAATCATTAAGCATTTGGTCGGCGGTAACAAGTATTTGGTCGGCGGTAATTATATTACGGTCGAAAGTCATTACAATGCGGTCAGCGGTAAAAAGTATTTGGTCGGCGGTAATTACACGGCGGTCGACGGTAAAAAGCATTTGGTTGGCGGTAGTCAGCGGTGGTCGGCGGTGGTCGTCGGTAGTCGGCGGTGGTCGGCGGTAAAAAGTACCACTGGACATTTACTACAAAAACTTACATGACATTGAAATTAGCATAAAATAAATATCAGAATTCAGCATATAATAAATATTACTAACTGCTCTGATGTTGAACTTGGTCTAGCCTTAAATTAGAGTAAACTTATTGATAACAAATTTTGACCTTGACTTATCTCAGTTACTATCATGAATTCAATAGATTGTACAGGCTAACCCCTATGAAATGGCCTATTTTATCTTCACTTCAATTATGAAAATAGAACATGAATGAAATGAGCATAGGTTATACATAGTTCAGTTATAAAAAAAAGGCTTGTATAAACAAGTAGGAAAACTAAAGCATCACTAATGCTGCAA